CCCCCGCCTGCAACTGATAAGCGCGCTCCTACTCCTTCCCACCACCCTACTTCTCTCCCCTAAAATTAATTTTCTGGGCACATCCTTTGTGAAACCGCCCTTTTTTCACTCCTTCTGGTTTTATTCTTATTGTAAGATCTTTTTGATAAGAAAATATTTAATAAGCTCTTCAGGCAGCTAAGGAGGGAATTAAAGACGTGTAGCCTACCGTAAACACACTAAATTCATGATCTGTTATTGACGGACATAGATTTTAAAAAATACCAACTGACCCTGTCTACACTAGTACACTGTCCCCCTGCCCTTACCATTCCCATCATCAGACCACATGAAAGAGAACACCATCTTCCTTGCTCTACAAGCGTAGAAGTTCTGCTTGTGCTTCCTCGTATTTACCCTCACTGGCACAAGACAATTTCACAATTACTGTATTTGCACTGGATACATAATACATGTTAATGTTACGTGTATGTAATATTATGCATGCATCATTCCTTTACAACACACTGTCTAAATTCTTGTGAGATTGGAGTAATAGGCCAAAAATTGATTATGTACTGCAAGAATTGGTGTAATGTAAGATAGGCCAAGAATTGATCAATATACAACGTACAATGTATTCCATAAACATAGTACAGTTGGAACGCCGCAAGTCGGCCCCTAGTTGTTGAGGAGAAACGTGTCCGTCTCAGAGCCAGGTGATCGTCTTATACAGTGTCGTTACTTACTTTACTTTTACTTGTTCATCCTCTCTTGCCGTTAAGCGTCGAGGGGAGATGCAGTTTTCTATGGTAGGGGTAGCCTAGGCCAGCGCCGCAGCTCTTTCAGTTGTGATGTTATGTTTTCTCAGGGTTTCTTTGACACCCTCGATCAACCTTTTTCGTGGCCTTCTCGAGTCTCAAGGCTGGTTGGTCTGGTGACATAAGATATAGGTGGCCAAACCATTGTATTCTCTATGTAATGCAGGCAGGACTAAAAAGGAACAGTGTCGTTATACTGTGAAGAAATACACGGAAAGGAAGTGGGGAAATGGCCGTTGTGTTATACAGGTGGCCGTTTGAGCAGTCTCGACTGAAGCATTCTTATTTATTTATGAATCATACACGTTAGAAAATAAGATATAAAAAGTAGGTCGGCGACTAAGTCAGTTTAAGGTGAAGGCTGTGGACGAGATAATGAACCAAAATTAGAAGTATGACTGGATTTGTCACGGCCGCGTACGGGAATCTGTCTGTTGTGTTGTTTTTGTCTTCATCACGTCCGATACTGTCGAGAGAACGCACGTAGATTTGTACATAGATAGGCCTTCTTTATTAATTTGTTTTGTATTCCTCGTTCGCGCGCTGTCTTGGCATCTGCGCATCGCTTTTGTAACTCTTACCGTCTTAATCATTTCACGTATTACTTTGACCTTCGAAGCATGCGATAGAAAGCTATTTGAAATATATGAGTTACAATTGGAATCTGCAAGTACTGCAACAGAATCTGCGCTTCAAACATAGGAACAATTAATTACCCATGAAAGAAGCTGCATAAAGACAACCTTGAGACCATCTTAAGCTAAAGTGACCGTCTGCATAGACAAAAAAAGCCGTACATAAAATCAGAATACAGATTATGCATCCAGCTTACCGCTGTCTGTCATTGTTGTTAACAATGATCGTTAAATTTATTTTATGCATGTTATTTTGAGTCTGTGAGTGCAAGCAAACTACATTTCTTCTTCTTCTTCTTCTTCTTCTTCTTCTTCTTCTTCTTCTTCTTCTTCTTCTTCTTCTTCTTCTTCTTCTTCTTCTTTTTCTTCTTCTTCTTCT